ATATTTAAAAAAAAATAAACAAACTAGTGGTTTTATCATTTATGGCAATAACTACTCCCGTGAAAAATCCCCTACAAAAAGGCAGCAAAAGAGAGCCTCCTTTAAACTGGCAGACTGCCAGGGTCAGAGTTTTAGCTGAAGACTTGGTGTCAAGATTCTGTTTGCAGCAACACGAATCCCTAGATGATATACCAACGGCTGTGATTTCTCGTGCACCCTCATATATGTCATGGGAGGGTCCTCATCGAATCCCTGCTTTTAACCCTAGATAGGGATTGGTGATGGTATGGTAGAGGACAAAGATCGTGGGATCTGCATGTTTTTATTGCACAGTGCCTGCACATATAAATGGATCATGCAAATCTCCTTCCTGATAATACAATGGCAACAAATCACATCCCATCCATCATTTTCTTGACCCTCCTAAAAAGAAAAACCCTGTTTGAATTATGCCCCTAGTTTCTCTCTTTTACAATCAATTAAGAATTATAATTGATTAACACTCCCTTAATTTTTTTGGTAAATTATTAACATCCCCTTAATTATTTGCATATATAATATTTATAAATTATATTTTATAATTTAAATTATATTATGTTGTAAAATATAAATTATTAAAATAAAAAATAATTTTTAATATTAAAAAATTTATTTTTATTTAGTAATTAATATAATATAATTTGATATAATTCACATTATATTATACTTATTTTTTTAACGCCATAAATCTCATGAGGAACATGGTAGCTCTTTCTTTTCTTTTTTTTTTTTTATTAAATTGAATAAGAGACTTCTAATTAAAATCTCAACCATCTTTCTAGTTAATACTAAACATAGTTGAGTTGAGGTTAGAAAAAAATTTTAAAGATACCACTTGAAGCTAGAACATAACCTAACTCATATCTCATCTTGTTAGTAGTACCATTTAATCATGCCCCCTTAATCAACATTAAGTAGTATCGAACTTTTTCTAATGACTCCATTATTTAAGGACTCAATAAAAATTTGAGTATGCACTTTTTTTAGAAAAAGAAGAGTGAAGTAAAGTAGTTTAATTTGTACTCGTGCAAATCTTAATAGTGAAGTGATAAAATGCCTTAAAAATTGGCACATTTAACTCTTTTATCTCCGGGACAAGACTCTAATAAAGGTGGGATGTTTGGGGTAGTGTGCTTAGGGTAAAGTTGGTTCCTTTGTGTTGGTGAGTGTGTTAAAAAGTGTAGACTTGAGGGAAGAGAAGAAAGGGATTATTATCTTTAAGAGGTTATCAACAGCACGCTTTGCTTCCTCAGCTGAACAACCTGACGTTATTTAGGGGGCTCTGGTTGCGTGAGTTGTGCTCTAATTCCCCCGTTTCCCATTTTGGTTTCTTGAGTAAGAGGGAATCTCTTCTGGTTTTATCATCTCCTTCCTCTTTTTTACTTCTTCTCAAGTTCTCCTAAGCTAAAATTCATTCGCCTAAATACCAAATCACCACCCAGTCCAGGCAAGAAACTGAAAAAAAAAAAAAAAAAAAAAAAGCGGGAAGCCCACTAAGCGTGCCAAAAAAACAAAGCAAAAGCTAGATAAGAACCCACTTCTTTATCATAGCTCTCTCTGTCTGTGTCTTTGCCTTAGAGCTGTGAAAATACTTTGTTTTTTATTTTGCCTTCTATTGGTGGGGTTCCTCTATAGGGTGTTATTATATTGTGTGTTGGGTTTAAGGATTTTAATGGGTTGAGCTTCTCTTGGCTGGATAGCTACCATTTTTGGTTTCCCATCTGTTTTGTGTTTTTGGCTCAGTAACTGAGATCTTGAGGGTTCTACTTCTATAACATATTCTTATTTAGATTTTCCCTTTAGAGGCCGAAGCAAACTTGTTCGTGATGATTTGAAGATGTGGGTCTCCATAGTTTTGGGCTCTGGTTAAATTCCTCCAAGGTGTGGCAAGTTTCTATCTTTTTATTTTTATTTTTTTGGTAATATGCCTGGTATTCCAGTTTAGTTGTGTTCTTGTTTGGTTCATCTTATTTAGGCTTCTAACGTTGTGATACTTCAAAATTTTTGCAGTTTTCTGCTGTTTCTTGGTGTTAGAAATTACAGAAGGTAATTTTCATTTGTCTTGCTTTCATATACACCTCTGCCCCACATCTTGAGAAGATGGAAAGTGGTTGCTCAAAGAATGGTGTAGCTTGTCCCCAGCTTCTAGATTTGATTCCTAGAGATAGAGGAGAATGGCATGTAAGGAGAGATGATGGGTCCTCAGAGGAGAGGAAACTTGAACTAAGGCTTGGTCCCCCCGGTGAAGAGAACTGGTCCAAAAATGATGCCTCCAATAATAATAACAAAGAAAGAGATGAATCTATTCCCTCACTTGGGCATCTTTCCTCTGCCTTGAACAACAGTGGAAACAAGGCACACAGCTTTTCTTCATTAGAGAACCGCCTGGTTGGGTCAGTTTTGTCCTCTCCTTGGGCGCATACCCACCAGCACAATCAACAGCAGACAAAGGCTCCTTCATTTCTTCAGTTCCCATCAACAGCCCCACAGGGTTTGCCTGTTAAGGCAAAGGAATCATCACTGCCCTATTGCACTAAAGTTGTAGACTTGCAGAACGCAGAAAAAAAATCATTTTCACCCGCTTCTGCAAATACAGCTGTAACCAACATCTCTCAGAAAAGGTACTCCAGCTTTTAATCCCTCAACCCTTTATTTCTCTCAGAGTCTCAGATAATGCCCCTTTTTTTTATCGGAGCTATTAACCCATTAACAAGTCATAATGCGAGACTAGACCAGACTAGATGTTTTGTGGTCCTTGCATCATCATGCATGCTTTTTTCCTTTCTTTGTGTTTCTTTATTGTTACATTAATATATATGTATATAATATCATGATAAATTGATATCCATTCTATGCTGATTTGTACTTAATGTAAGCTTCAATATGCAAATATTCACTCTTGTCAACATTCATGCTTCCAAATTTTCTTCATGTTTTACTGATCTGGTTCACCCACCGTGGCTGTTAGCTTCCTTTTGGCAATTGATGAATAATCCCTTATCTTCCCCTCTTTGTGTAAGTTCTGCTTTTTTTTTCCTGTTATCAACTGTTTCAATTTCCAGTTTTCTATATCATGGAACTGAATCTGTCCGACATTTGTCGCATGTTCTTCTGAATTTTCTAATGTGTAAAATTTGTTTGCCTTTAAAAATCGTATGGCTTGTGGTTATATTAAACTATATACTACTTTCATTTTTATAATTGTATTTCCTCTGTATGTCCCTTTCCATTTTTATCATAGACATATATATGCAGCTGAAAAGGGCTACTGTTCTATGATAATTAAACATTTGCTTAATCCAGATTTTTTTTTTCTCTCATCTGCTCTTTTTTAATCCTCAACATAGAACTGCCCCTGCTCCAGTTGTGGGTTGGCCTCCGGTTCGTTCCTTTAGGAGAAACATTGCAAGCGGCAGCTCCTCAAAACAGGCTGCTGAATCACCAAATGCAGTGCTAAGCAAGGGTTCAGGTGAAAAATCACCTGTTGAAACCAGTAACCAAGGTCTTTTTGTTAAGATCAATATGGATGGAGTCCCAATCGGAAGGAAAGTTGATCTCAGAGCCTATGGCAGTTATGAAAAACTCTCCACAGCTGTAGATGAGCTTTTCCGAGGTCTCCTTGCAGGTTATTTATTTATTTATTTATTTGGTCACTGCTATCATTTTTGTATTGCATCTTGGTCCCTAATAGCGTAGGATTATCTTATGACAAATTGCATATGTCAAGGTCATAATTTTGGACTGGTCCCTTTGTTCTTTATTCTTATTTCAACTCTTGGAATGTGTTAATGTGGACTTAGTGAAGATGTAGATTGTCTCATTATTTTGTCTTTTTACTTGTCTGTTTAGCTCAAAGAGATTCCTCTGCTGGAGGAATAGTGAACAAGCATGAAGAAGAGAAAGCGATTACCGGTGTGTTGGATGGAACTGGGGAATATACGCTTGTTTATGAAGATAATGAAGGGGACAGGATGCTTGTAGGGGATGTCCCATGGCGGTAAGCAACTCACCATTGTGAATCTGATCCATTTTTAGATTTACTATCTCATAATATATTCCCCCCACTTAGTGATTGAACCTATACCAAAGCAGCATTAGATTCTTAGGCGCTTGACAACAAATTCTGCTTTTTTTAATCATAAGAATATTGTTTGTTATGAATGCCGTTCTTCTGTTTCTCGAATCTGTACATTTAATGCCATGGTCTATTAAATTCACATTAATCTAAATGTGAACATTGGATTGCAGCATGTTTGTTTCAACCGTGAAGAGGCTGCGCGTGTTGAAGAGCTCTGAACTTTCTGTGCTAAACAGTGAGTGTTAACATAGAAAGTCCTTTTAATTGATTGCTAAATAAACAGTTTCAGTGTTCGGCTGAGCCTAACTAGAAAATTTGCATTTCTCGCTTGTAGTTGGAAGCGGTAAGCAAGGCAAGATCCCAACCTATCCTTGAAATGAAGAGTTCTTTCTACTAAAGATTCTCCAAATTCTGGAAGAGAGACATGTTTTGTGTTCTTATTTTGACATGTTGCTTCCCCTATTTTGTATGGAACTTGTTGCTTCCAAAGTATATATTGTCTTATTATGTGTAGCTGATATGTAATTTTTGACTACTTCCCTTTGACATGCTCTCTGTTACATTAAAATGCAGTTTGGAACAATGATTAGTAGTAGTATCTTCTTGACTATTTGATGTTAATCATGCTTTACTGCCACCAATTCTATAACAAAACTGAAGGAATTATGTATGTGCTGTAATTTGAAAAGTTCAACAACTCTTCCTTTTCCCTTGTTGGTTCCTTTTTCTTTAGGCGTGGGGTGGGGAAAAAGCAGAGGAAATTCCACCTTCTGTTCGAAAGGGCAGACAAATGAAAGTGACGCTCTAGACTCTTGAAAACAAACTTCTGACCTACTCCAGCTGGTCCCATTAGGCAAATTTCCCTCATCGTCGTTGTGTTGTTTAAAGCGTGAATGTGTGTCATGATCAATGGAGTTGAGGGCCATAAAGGGACTAAAAGTTATTTGTTTTGGGGAGAAACGAAGCGTCTTTATCATTGAGGGTTGCCTAACTTTGGACCCAGAAATTAGACGTTCAACCGGTCATCTGATTGAGGACTTGTGGTGTCTGTGTGTGTATGCGAGTGCACGTGTGAGAGCAAGAGTTTTAAATCAATCATGTAGCTTTGTAGCGTTCATCCAACCTGAGTTTGGTGAGTTTGGTCGGAGGAGAATGAGAAGACGTGCGCTTAAGACTGTATGGGACTTGCCTTGTAAGGATGGGAACTGGGAATTTGGTTGTCTCTGGAATTCATGGACAAAATTGTTTGAATTTTGGCAATTAAATGCACACTAGATTGCTAAGAAGTGAAGAAATCAAAGACAAATTTATAATTATTTACTGTCATTGTCTAATTGTTTAATGAACAAACTGAACTTGAAAGCAGAGATAGGTTGAGGGGGAATTGTATAGTAGTTTTGACTATGTCGAAGTGGCACTGAAATTTCATAAATTTAACATTTGAATGTCCCTAATTTTGTCTAGATTACAAGGCAGAAAATCTGGAATTTTCAGGAAGCATCAAATATTAAATCCCAAGAGTTTAGCCTTCCAGCATTGAGGAAGCAGTGACACCCCACAATTCATTCTTTGCCTAAGATTGAGAGTTGAGACCAAATTCTCTATCAAAACTTTCCTACTTTATTTTTCCCTTTAAAGCAATTACAAAAGATTAAAAGACCCTAAGAAACTTTGTAGAGAGAACACTAAGTATATATATCAAACCTTGATTTGGAGTTAAAATCAAGGATTAAAGACTTCGCATTTTTAAGCAACTAATTTCTGATACTAAGAAGAGGCAAATGTAACAAGTTGCGCCTCAAGACTAATTTGTTAGATAAAGATATATAATTACATCAAATGATCCAAGGTCTTTGTTCTTAATTACTACATGATGACACCCATATTTTTCTTCTCTTTGGCTCTCTATTTTCTCACTAAGCATCCCTGTTGTGTGATCACATTTCATAAAATATGGAAGAGGGCTTTATTTCTATATCTATCTTATTGATCAAGTTTCGATTTTGTGTGAATTACACAAAAAATGTAATTTTTGACAAATCTGTTTTAGATATGCATAAATGACTTCGGTACTTTTGTCCCTGTGTTATTATTAAAAAAAAAGAAAGTGAAGGCCAGCATTTTTGAAATAAAACTAAATAATAAGTCTAGTATTCATCTCAAGAACAAAATATTAATCATCGTCTATATAACATAAACAGAATAAAATGCAGAAGGGCTTTTGGCCTCCAGTTCCATATTCTGTAGTTGATTAAACAAATAAAGAGACATTATAATTTTTTTTAAAAAAAAGGTAATTAAGAAATAAAACTAGTACACCACCCACTTAAAATTCAGTTCCATCCTTCCTAAATTTTGAAGATGGATCGAACAAAATATTATTAGGTTTCAATCTTTTAATCTACCCATAAAAAAATTATAAAATTAATTTCAAAGTAGAGAAAGAACATCTAAATGGAAAATTAAATTCTACAAAGACATATTTTGAATCTCTAATCCCACTAGGGAATCCATGATCGTTCCATAATCTCAAAAATAAGGCAAAAATGGCCACATCCCTCAACATAAATATAATATATGAATACAAAATACAGAATACATATCGATGTACCTCTTGTAATATTATTTGCCTGGCTGAATCCTGCGTGCCATGTATGTATCATACCACAAATTAAATAGAACCTATATATATAGTAAGCCTCGCCGCCATAGGCTCAGCCAAGCCCAGCAGCGGCGCCGCTGCTGCCTTTGCCGGAGGTTTATGTAGAGAAAAGCGCCTCAGTTGCCATTGAAGATGAAGTTTAGATGGCTCTTTTATATGGGGTTGAATGGTTACTGTTGCTGGTGTTTGCTTTTTATATTTTCGAATTTCATTGGAGAAAACGTTCGTACGTGAACTGAGTTTCGTATTAAGTTTATCCTTGGCATGGAAATACAAAAATGCCCTTGCCCAACTTTGACCTTAGTATTGTTTTATTAATTTTATAAATAAGTTAATGTTTTACTGTTTGAATTGTATTAATTGCAAATGCCTTAGTTTAGTGGGCAGAAGGGCCTGCTTTTGAACTTTTAAGGCTGTATTAATTACGAAGGTATGGTTTCTATGGTTTAAGAGGTGTTTATTTTGATTTATTAAAAATAATTATTAATTATTGATTTTAATTAAACGAGTTAGATATTTTAAATTATAAATATGAACAAATCTCAGTTATCAAATATTAATTATCAACTATTTTAAAAAAATAATCCAAACAACTTATTAGACTGCTAGATACTGTTTCCTTTTATATAGCTTTTTATGTGATTAAACCTTTCATACAAGTGTCCAAAATCCTAATTTCATTGTGCTCTTAATTGAGAAGTTGACTTATTATGTTAGAGATTTAAAATTTAAGTTTAAAGATAGTTGTAGAGAAGTGTAGAAAGAAGAGAGTTATTTCTTATAATTTATCATTAAAAAAAGTGATTAATTGAGAAATAAAAAAATTCATATATGTAATGTGTCTTGTTGAGTGAAAATAACAATTAGACTATTTTATATTTTAATTAATAAAATTATTATCACATCACGTTGTAAGAATTTTGTTGTCAATAAATTATTTTTAAAATAAAAAATACAACAAATTTTTATGATAAGCTCTAAACAACTAATCAAATAAAGGAATATTCAAATAATAATGTGAAAATGATAATGTAATTTAGTGGATGGTGAGGGGTATTTTCCCAACAATTTAGTCGTATACAATTTTAATCCTCCAAATTAAATACACTTTTCCTTTTCCTTTTTCTTTTTTTTTTTTCTGAATTAATGTGGCAAGTGGGGTGGCAGAGAAAAGTGGGAATGACAGGGAAAGCTCCTTTTTTTTTCTTCGAACTGTCAAATTCTTCAACCTTGGAATTCATTCTTATTTGGACTAGAATATGTAAGGGGATATTGAAGGGGGAGGCAACTCCACTTATGTATATTCTATTGGGTTGGGTCAAAACATAATCAATATGTTCATCGTCTATACATTCTTTTCTACATAAACATAAGTACCCCTCTTTTGTATTTTTATGTTATATGAAAATTACTTTTTTGACAAACATTACAGTTCTAATGTGTTTGTATTCATTTTCAAAAGGATATATCATTCCATGGTTGCTTCTTACCCTATCTTTGTCGGAAAAGATGAATGTCTATTTACGCTTGTTTTCATGAAATAATTACAATCACAGACGACAGAGCGGTGTCATTTTCTTTGACCTCAATCAATGGAATGTTCCATTGGTGATGGTCTTCGACGACTTATGTGCCACTTGATTTGGTAGAAATAAATTTTTTTTTTTAAATTTAAATGGTTAAACCCTTAATTTGGTTTCGAAATTATTGTATGGATCATCCATTTAGTTCTTAAATTAAAAAAGTTATTGATTTGATTCTTGAACTATTGTACAAACCTTAGATTTGATCCACACTGTTTATCAATTTGCGCCAAATTGATTTTTTCATACAAAAAACAATTGATGTATTCGTTACTTAACGACAAAAAATAGTAACTTAACAGCAATATATCATGTTAATAACAAGATATATCCGCTATTTTTTGTACAAAAGAACCAACTTGAAATAAATTGATAAACAATAGGAATTAAATCGAAGGTTCGTACAATAGTTCAGGAACTAAATCAAAAAAATTTTTTAGTTCAGGGACCAAATCAGAGTTTTATACAATAGTTTAGAGACCAAATTAAGAATTTAACCAATTTAAATTGTATAACATATAAAAAATGTAAAATGTGCATTGATTAATACCACAACATAAAATGCATTGAGTAATAAATCTTTTTCTAAAAAAAATTTTAGTAGTACAATGAATTATTTAAGATTTCACTTGAACAAATTTTCTAATCTAAGTCATTGTTGAGGAAGGAAATTCTCATCCCTCGAATGAAAGAAAGAAAAGGTAAAGATTTTGGATTAAAAAATTTTGAAGTTCACAAATTAACTTCTAGAGTGGCAAAAAATTTTCCTGACCATGCTTACGGCTCCATAGCTTCAAGATACTGAGAATGGGAGGCAGCAAGGAGGGCAGCTCCAATGCCCGAGCCATCATTTGAATGCACCAGCACTATGCTGTCATATAAGTCTTCTCCGAGCAATTCATTCACAGTGTTCTCCAAGCACTTCTGGTATTCGGTATAGTGCTCATAAAGTCCACCATCCACTGCAATCACTGTCCTCTGTTTCTCTCCATCCTTGATTGTGTCTTTTCCCATTTTCTTCAGGATGCCAAAGATTCCAGCAGCAGCAATACGTGCCCCACGTGTTGCAACAATGTTGCAGAGCACAACAATCACTTTTCTCATCTTGAGGGAGGAATTTGATATCTGAAATAGAAAAAGTTTAACTGGGGTTTGGGTATGCAAAAACGTTGTTGATAGTTCAGGAGTGATTAGAGGGGAGGTGGAAGTTGCTAAGCACTACACCAGCTATGCGATGAATGCTGTTAAAGACAAGACACTTAAGTAAATAATAACGCAGGAAGAGTGTCAAAAGTTCCAAAACAGACAATTAAGCACAAAAAAAGAATCTTTAGCTAAGTGAATTTGTAAAGAAAATAACACGTTTCCAAGAGTGTAATTGAAGAAAATTATTTTACAAGATTTAAACATACCTCCAGAATGTCTTTCAGTTTATTGGCTACCACTTTGAGGTCAGGGGATGTATTGTGATGCATTGCTGACATGTCTGGTGTTCTGCATTGTAAAGAGTCAGTCCAGGACAAAGTCTGTTGTATAATCCACTTCAGTTTATAAGATGGAAAACAGTGCCCATGAAGAGCCACAAAAGTATAGAAAATAATGAAACTATAAGCCAGTAAACCTTTTCCAAAAAAAAAAAAAAAAAAAAAAAAAAAGAAAGAAAGAAAAAAAGAGAGCCATAAATCCAAGAAAGGAAAATACCTTCTATCTTAAGCAGCAATGGGAGCTTGAGAAAATTGTGAAGAGTTGATTGTTTCAGCAGTTTTTTCATTGTATTTTGGACTGTAGTAGCTCATTGTGCTGCTTTGATTGTACTCAATATTATTGGATAAATAAGATTCACATTTTATCCAAAAAAAAAAAGAAAAAAGAAACACTAATTCAGTTAGTCACATACTTGCATTTCTTTACTACATTAGAAGTTAGTGGGCTTAGCAATGCAGAGATTTGAAACCCTAACTCTAACCCAAAAGTCAAAGTTTTGAAGTTATTGGGTGCCAAAAGTTCACTTAGTGCTTACCCAAAGATCTTGCCATGTAATCTGATAAGTAATCCTATCATCTATGAGCCCATTGTTATCATTTTAACCCAAATCTAGAAGGTATAGTTATTAAGAAAAAAGGAAGGCTTCAGGGAGGCCATAAAGTACAGCTAAGGATGGGTGAAGAAGAGGGGAAAATTATAATAGGCACTTCTTACAAGGATTTTAGAAGAGTAGCTATTTGAGAGAGGCCAAAAGAAAAGTAGTTATTTGAGAAGCAGTTTGTAATTTTCTCACTTCAAGATAAGGAAAAACAAGATAAAATTATGAGTTAATACTTAATTGTCGATTTAGAGATATTTGTATTTAGTTTTTGTTCTATGTCTCCACTACTGTTCATAGACCTACCTTTTCTTCCTTGCAGGCAACACCAGCCTAAATCTTATACTATTGAAACCTTAAATCACCTTAAAAGCTATAAATGCATGAACCATAGATCAAATGCTCACAGTCAAGACTTGCTGCTAACCTACTTCAAGAAATCAAACCTTATTAACTAAATCCTTCTACCCCCTAAGTCACAACAAGCTGGGTAGACAGATTCCCAAACTAGTCCTATATCACAGTGTAATGCAGATTCCCAAAGACACATCTTTCTTAACAAGGATGAGAAAGATGTTTGATACCAGGGTTCTCATTTCACAAATGGTAGCTGTCCAGAGACAGCATCTTTAAGAGTGCTAACCAATTTGAACTAGCTGAAAAGAAGAACTATCAAACAAAAACAATTTTCTAGAACAAAGAAAAGAAAATAAAGAAAAAATAAAAGTAAGAAAAAGTACCTCAATATGAATGGTACTTTAAGTTTTGTTGGCATGGTGTCACCAAAAAATGCAGCTTCTTCAGCCATCCTGCATAGAACTCTGCGTACAATTTCTCCCAGATACATGCCAGATATTATCTTCTCATAAATCTGTGATCAATAAAAGACTTAAAAATAGCCAATCAAGAGAAGTGCAAGGCATGGCTAGACTACAGAACCATGCAATTACCTGTTCACCAGGATTCAAACTATCTGCATCTAATGCATGATCATAGTCTGTTAATGGAAGATGTGATGACCTAAAGTTGCCCCATTCCATATTGATAACCTACAGGCAAAAACCATGGGACAGTTTCAGTATTTGTTTTACAATTTCTAAAATTAATTGTCATTCAAAATTCACGGATGTTTATGTGGATATCTAATTGTGACATAAGTAAATATATAAAGATAATTTACTTTCAGAAATCAGAATGATTGAACCAACTAAATATAACTAAATAAACAGCTAACCATATCCCCAGACTTAGGAAGCAGACCATGCCACTTTGGTATTGCCTGTGCACATTCTACATATGCAGCATTTGTTCCAGTACCTAGGATCACAGCAGCAACAACATCATTGTCCATGTACCTACCTCCAGCCAGTGTCCCAACTGTGTCATTGACCTGCTTTCAACACCATTTACATCAAGACAAATGGGGGAAGGAAAAAAAGACGATGATGACAGAAAGAGATATTCCAAACAGGATAGATAAGAAATTAGGAAAATGATAAAATCCAACGCTTAAAAAAAGATGCAAAATACTTGTAGAAAGATCCATTCACTACTGAGAATGAAAATCCACATGTTCATACCAGAGCCAAAACTTGCATGTCAAGCCCTTTTCTCTCCATTGCTTTGGTCAGTTCTGCTACCACATCTTGGCCAACCTATTTATTTAAGGAGTTAATAAAACTAAAACAACCAAAAATTTTAGGTCAAATAAGCAAACTCTAGAAGGCAGTTTTGCCATAAGATTTTAGAATATACCAAAGACTTGTACAGTACATTGAAGTGCTTATGCTGGAAAATCAAATGCAAAAGTTCTGAAATTATTTATCCATAATCTTTTTCATAAAATCAGTGAACCACAATGCTGAGTTGAGTAACACTAACATATGATTAAACATGGATTGACAGTCCCATTTAACTTGCACAAATATGCTTTACCCCCAGTGCCCCCATAGTGAGAGAGATGTAGCACTCACAATATCATCTATGGAGAAGCCTTTTGTCCACCTAAGAAGAGTCCCAAAAGCAATGGATGATTGCATCACAGGAAAAGAAAAGGTAAAACCTAGCTCCCTCTTCCTACCAGGAGTTAGCTGAAAGTCAGGACCTTCTTCAGCAATGAATTTTGCAAGTTCTGTCACAATGAAATCGAATAATCCCTGTGACCAAAAAATGAAGACCAAAATCTTTTATGGTTTGAGAATTAAGCATGGACCAATTCAAATACTGCTGGTTGTTTGATAGCAAGAACACTTACATTAGAAGTCCCAGTCATCAGACTAGGAGGAATTGATACCTCAGTAAATTGTTGATTAACAATACCACCATCCTTCCCTCCCAATTGCACCCGCAAAACATGAAAGTTTGTTCCTCCAATATCTAATGCATAAAATAATCCCTTCTCATTTCTGTAATATGAAGATAAATAAACAAACCAATTATCAAAAATTAGGAAAAGAAGCACTCTCGTTTCTTGTTGGTTGATATTTGACATACAATTCAGCTGTTTTCCTTAGAATTGGTTGCAGCATTTGGGATTTCTTCTTTTTTTCAGACGAGAAAACGGGGGTATCACTTAACAAGACCCTCTTCAATTCATTCAATCAAATATGATCTTAATTAACTCACAGAAAATATTTAGAAAACAGAATTTTAAAAGTAACATTTTTGTGACAAAGAGGATCTTATTGAACATAACTCAATACATGCATGCTAATATAAATATCTAATCAGAATAACCACAAACGTAAGTCTCCAACAAATAGATATATTCGAATTACAGTATTTGACTGAAATTTGTCATATCTCATACAGTTCAAATGGATTAATCATGAATCCATGCAAACACAAAGACATTATAGCAATATGTCAATATCTGAATCAAATTTTAAATTAACAGAATCAAAATCGATCATAAGTATTGGTTGACTTACCCAGTTGGCAAATTGTCGACATAGCTGATGAGCATCTTGAGCTTGCTGCCACCTTCAGATGCAAGGCCAGCATGCATCTCCACAGTCATAGCATCAGCCACCTGCTTCAGCTTCCCCATTGTGGTCGCACATTTCTCCTCAAATTCCTTCACTATCTCCATTGCCTTGGCCCACCTGGCAGCCTCCCGCATTTTCCGATGCACCACCACAGCGGCCGCCGCCGCTACTGCTGCTGCACATATGACCACCGCCCCAACGACCACCTTCCCCATTGATCACCCACTATAGAAAATTCCACAGAAACCACAAAAGATGAAACTTTTCCCCAAGAAAACGACACCCTTTTAGATTTACAACAATGGGTGTCCTTGATTTTGAGAGAGGAATGCCAAAAAATTCGGATTGCTTTAATTTGCAGTTCTAAATCCTGAATCTTCACAGGAGTTGCGATCAGGAAGACGAAATGCAATGGAAAGATGAAAAACAGGGATCTACACCACTGAGGAGGAGCTTTTTGATTGAAAATATTAAGGATTTGATTAATGAAATATACTGAGATTGGTGAAAGCAGTAGTGTTTTACTGTTTTTGGTTTGTTCCAGAACTTCCGGTGAAACAGAACCAGGGATGGTTAGTTTGAGTGTAATACTGTAAGATATTAATGCATTCGAAATGGTGGATTTTTTTTTCCCCTATAGAAAGTAGAGTACAAAAACAGTATACAAATTTTACATAGCATAGAAATACTTTGACTTAAGCATAATATAAAAATTAGGAAAATTTTGAAAATAATTAATCATATATAGGAGTCAAACTCATAGTTAGGTGTTAATGCACTCAAATTACCAAGATGGATTTGGAGACATGTGATTTCAATATTATAATTGTTGTATTTTCTTATCAAATTATGATTAATTGATAATTTTTGTTTATAATAATCACAAAACATTAAATGAGTATAATAGTTAACATATAAATTTCGAATCCGAGTTGAAAAGTAAATATCATTTATACATGCGGCAACAAACGTGTGAATGAATGACTTTTGTTTTACGAATCCTATTTTTGGATAAAATGGTAGAAAATTAACTCATTTCTTTCCAACTTTTAGATTCGGATTTGGTTTTATCTTTGATTTCCTTTGCCTTTTTTTGTCAATGTCTAGGAACTTTGGAATCCAAACCAAAAGCAAGGGAGAACAGCAGCGATTGGCTATTGCCAACTGGTGATTCTGGGAGAGCCGTTCCATGTTCACAGACCAGATAACCTAAACTACAACATGCATCAACGGATTATAGTTTATATATATTTAAAAAAAATACATACACTCTGTAAAATTACATATTTCATTATATATTGACAATTTTTATTATTATCTGTTATATACTTCTCTCGTAACTCCCCAAATGCATCAAGTCTTTTCTTTCTCTCTCCTTTCCTTTTCCCTCTTGTTGTTCTGGCCATAGACACATAAAGCAAGTATGTTTTTGGGATGATATGGTAGAAAGTGGACTGCATATTAGTGGAGTCAATTGGCAGAAAAGGGAAAAGAAAATAGGGAAAATTTCTGCAGTCTTGTACTGTATGCAACTTTATCATTTTGTTCAATTTGTAAAAGTTCACTGTTGGATTAAGCTGAAATTTTGTCTGGGTATTCAAGAAACATTGATCTACATTCTGAATGATTGGTTCTTAGTTTGGAGTTTTGTATGTTTTAGTTTTGTGTCCAGAATAGTAGCTCAATTTTAGTGATTTGTTTTTTTTTTGTAATTTTGGTACTACGTGCAACTTTGCCATTTTATCTAATTTGCAAAAGTTCATCGTTGGATTGAGCTAAAATTTTCTTTGGGTGTTTAAGAGACATTAATTGAATAGTTAGTTTTTATTTTGGAGCTTTGTAAATTCTGATTTTGTATCCAAAACAGTAGCTCGATTTTGATAAACCGTTATTGTGTAACGGATTAAGTAACAGAGATCATTCATGTGTAATGGAGTGTGTAATAAAGTATGGTGTATATATCTTTTTTCATATATATATATATAATCAATGATCTTTCGGTTTAAGTGAAAAAATTTTGATACCTCTTAAATAAAATTTCAAATTTGAGTAATGTGAATGAAAAAATAGGCATTAATAGGGTTTTCCTCCTTATGAATCTAACCCAACTCCACTTTGAATTAATACCAATAGATATATATTTATATATATATTGGATTGCAGAAGTAAGGTTTTTCTTTTTTTTTTTTAACTCATCACATTTATATATTATGCATTTCAAATTTATTACCTTTTACTTTTATTAAAAAAAATTTAAGTTATTGTTCATATAATAAATAAGATACATTTAAAGCTATTAATTAAGGCCATAGTTCTTGACATAAAAGATAGTGGATACAGACCTTGAATAGATTTTGCTTTCATATTAAAATGCAAAAATAAGTTATTAAAAACTTAAATATCCGAAACTTTAGGTTTGAATCATATAGTAGGAGATGGGAAAGACTTTGGGAAATGGAAGAGCATTCCATTCCATACAGCTCATCATCTTATCATACACACACGAGTGAATATATATATATATATATATATATAGTTTCTCTAACGAGAGGAAAGATAATCCCATGCAAGTATCTTACTTATTTGAGAAAGTACATAAGGTTGCATGAATAAATACACCACTACCAGCCCAATATATGAACTTAGGAATGATTTAATACTTAATACTATGAGTTGTTCAGGACGTTTATGTGATTAAGAAATTGAGTTTTTATATTAAAAATTAAAATTTTAAATATTGAAATGGATGAAAAGATATTTGAGAAGGGAATAATTATCTCTTATTGTATAATATTTTATTTTATATATATAACTTAATACTGTGGGAGAGGGATAGGATGCTGTGGAAGCTGGACCAAAATTCCACAGGATAGAACTTAGAGAACAGCATGCAAGCGCGCGATAAAATACAGAGACCAATACATCGACAACAACGCATTCCCGAGCTCTCCTTAAATCAACTTTGGTAGGTGCCGCCATTGAT